GACATTAACCGCATGGGTCATACACAGGACATCCCATGTTGGTTTCTGGATTAAATTGATTTTGCAGTCTTATTTTGTGTAGATGCCTCTAGATTACGCTTATTTTAGCAGAATAAAATATGATCATGCCTTGATTTTTAATACTTTAATTAGGACAGTAAGGTCTGACTTTCCTTAGACAAAAATCTTTAAAAAAGTATGGTACAGTATAGAATATAAAGTCATGTTGCAGTGGAAAAGGAATTATTATTCTGTATGACTTCCATGAGTTCCACGACTGTATCCATACATCACTGCAATGACTCAAATAACTTATCAATAAAGTCATCTGGAATGGCAAAGAAAGCATTCTTGCAGCACTCACAGAGTTCATCAAGATTCTTTGGATTCATCTTTAATGGCTCATTCATCTAACCCCAGACGTGCTCAATAATGTTCACTCTGGTGACTGGGCTGGCCAAACCTGGAGCACCTTGACTTTCTTTGCTTTCAGGAACTAAAGTTCATCATAATATGTTTTTTTTTTTTTTTTAATCACATCTCATTCCAGGCTATCTGGATTACTTGCTTCTGACTGATCAGTCGTGACATTCCAAGGTATGTTATTCCGAGATAACAACCACTGAATAACACTGGCTCATCTAGAAACTTCTAATCACATTGATGTCAGATGATTCTGTATTTCTACATATTGTTCTTTCTTCATGATGCCATCTATGTTGTAAAGTGGACCAGTCCCTCCTGCAATAAACTTCATCTCAGAATTAGATTAGCCTGGTTTTCACACACTGGGTCACAAATTGTAATTTGTAACAATTCTGTAAATACAATGTAAGTGGATCATAATCCAATGAAATATTATGATTTGTTTGTTAGAATTAAGTCAGGCACATATAAGCATTAATTTAATACATTTTATGTAATACATTAATAAACAACATAATGCACATGTAAGGAAATTAAACTAGTAAATTGCAACTTTTCATTGTTTAAAATTAGAAATAGGCTATATGAAAACTTTACAACACTGTAAAAATCCTTTTTAAGCTGAATCAAATTAATCACGAGTTAATTAAACTTATATTAAACTGACTTAAAACAGCTTGCATAACTTATAAAATTAAAATAGAACATGATTAACTTAGTTCAGTAAGTTAAAATGACCTAAAACATATGCTGTCAGGACTAATTGATCAAATCATTTTTCACAGTGTACTGTAGCTAATGTTTGTATCTAATTTATGTATGTGCTGTGTCCATGTTTGGGTAGTTGTTACTGCAATTAATGACAAATATTTTAGCCAAAATCAGTAATCAATACCATGCTTTAAAATTAAATTCATTAGTATGTTCTCCTCGCCTCTAGGTTACAGCAGCTAAGGTAATGCAGGTGTACCACACTATTAAACAACATCAGCTATATCACTGCTGCAAAGATGTAAAAGAGAAAGACTGACTGCATCTGTTTACACAGATTTCAGTCAAATTATTTTAATGTCCAAGTGTTCATACTTTCCTGAAAACATATTTTCAGTTGCGATTTACCACCACTGGCATGCTATTGGGCCTGTGATCACTGTGGTCTTGGCCCCCAAGTGAAATGGCCCCTGCTGCAGTAAACCCCTTATTTTTTGTCTCAAAAGTGGACACCCTGTTTACTAGGCTATTAGTAAAAATCACTGTACTAAATGTTCACTGCATCCAACAGCTTATTAGTGAGGTTGTTACATGAATGCTAGTCCACTAGCTTAGTAAATTCCTGCACTTGTCGCTGTTAAGCTTCAGGAAATTGCATCATAATCACATACTAACCCGGGATTACTTTACATGTTACATCCGAGAGGCTGTATTAGATTTGAGTTCTTACAAACGAATGTTTTGTCAGAGAATCGCGTTCCCTAATTCATATTTAAGGATTACCTCCAGGAGCTGACATACAAAGAGTTTCATAGTAAGTTTCTTCAGTCACATCAATGTTTACATCATCGTCAGTTTTCTACACACAGATCCACTGCGCCCTCTAGTGTTTGATTGAGAAGATTCATTGAGAACTATGGTAGGCACCTACGTAGCCTACAAAACATTCATTCATTCATTTTGCTTCAGCTTAGTCCCTTATTTATCAGGGGTTGCCTTACCATAATTATTGAATAAAGTGGGTAATAACTTGGAAATATTCCTTAGCCTAACCTCAGTTATAGCCTATAACCTGGCAGTACACAGTAAAATATATATCGGCTTGCATGGAAAAGAAGGTACTTTGGGGTGAAGCATCTTAAACGTTATCGCAGAAGAAAGTCTCTCACACACAGAAAGCATATTTCATGGCCTAAAGGACATGCTCTCAAATATCCGAGCATGACAATTGAAGGTTTATGGTGTGGCCTTGAGACTGCGGCCATGACTAAAGCCGAGCATCACATAAAAGACGCTCACTGTGCAGCTCCGGTTCCACTTCATCCTTTTATACAGTGGTGACCATGAATCAAAGATGTCCAAGCTATTTAGTGGACGCACGGAAACTAGACTTGAACACAAACAAGATTTGGATCACTGAGACTTAATTGACTCTTTTCTGCTCGTCTGGTCAGGCTTCTGCTGGGAAAATAAATAAATCAATAATTCATATACTGGTGGGTCATTCCTAGGCCCACGCAGAATCTGCGCGCGCAGAATTCCGCAGATTTTTAGCCCATCATTAATTCAGTTTTTTTACTTGAAGTGTGTAAATCTTCATTTATTCAGTTTTTTAAATTAATTAATATTACTAACATGAAAATCTGATTTATGTACAATGCAGTAAGTAAAATGTTCTGTCTTTTAGTAGTTAGGCCTATCTTATATCTTATATCTTATTGGATTTGCATTGTAAACATTAAAGAAAAGTATTTTTTTATTTTTTATTTTTACATATTAATGTTTTAGTTTAGTGATACTCCCAAAATAATTCCTCAGATTTTTAGCCCATCATCAATTCTGTTTCAAGAGTTCACACTTAGCTGATTGATTATAATCAAGTTTGGCATGCTGTCCCGGGAGAGAGCCCTGAGCTCGAAGGTTCTTGAGCCCTGGGCTCCCTCCCGTTTGGAGGAAGATAGGGGAGCCTTGAGCTCAGGTAGATCTCGACAACTCCCCTTTGATAAGAGCTGATGACTAAAAATTGAATGCTATGAAAAGATATGCTGCATTGCAAAATTTAGATTTATCAATTTACTTGTTGTGCATGTTTTTTGGAATGTGGGAGGAAATCGGAGGACCCGGGGAAAACCCACGCAAGCACGGAAAGAGGATGCAAATTACACACAGAAATGACCAACGGCCAGTTAAAGGACTAGAACCGGTGACGTTCTTGCTGTGAGGCACAGGGCAGCATGGTGGCCCAGTGACTAGCACTATGGAGGGAAAGGTGAAAAGGTAGGGGTGGAAGGGGGGATTCAAATCGAAGATGACTAGTGAAAAAACCCTGGCTCTTTATAGTGGTTAGGAATGGCCTGATTGGTGGATCATGCATGCTAATGCAGAACCAGCCGTGTTCAATCATAATCACGTGCTCCTCTCGAAATTAGTTTATGAATAAACTTCATTTAATTACTTGAGTAACTGTGTCAATCTATATTTATTCAGTTTTTAAATTAATTACAGTAATAATATTGACTAATACGAAAATGTTCAATTGATTTATGTGCAATGCAGTTTGTACAGTAATATGTTCTTGCTTCGTTTACCAAACAGACTTTACCAAATAAAGTGAATCTAATTGGTTTTGTATTTTAAAGATTAAATAAAAGTTAAAAAGATATTATTTTTTATGTCACATATTAAGGTTTTAGTTGTGATACTTCCAAAATAATTCCACAAAAATCTGCAGATTTTTACCAAAATTCTCTACAGATTCCGTTTGGCCCTAGTCATTGCTACTGTTTGGTGCCATTTGTGTCCCCAAGGCATATGGTACAGAATGTTAAAATATGCCATTAAAAAAAGTTCCTTAAAACTCGTCTAATAGGATTATCCCATGTCCACAAAAGTACACACTGATAAGTGCTCAAAATTAAAAACAATGTAAAATGAAGACTTTAATTGCAGTGCAATTAGCTGAATCGCCATATCCGAGGTCATGTAGGATTATGAAAAATCTATAAAATAGCCTACAATACTTTTTATTGATCGTTCATTCATCTCACCAAATACAATTTTTTTAACTAAAATAAATGCATAAAATGTGTTTTCCTGAAATTTGAGGTAGTTAAAAGTTTTTCAATATAATCCTAGGACAAGAATGGGTGTTCCTGAACAGTGTTTTGGGGCAACTTTGATGAAACGTTTTCATCCGCTTCATGTTGACTACTGTATACACATACACATTTACTTTGATATACAAATACAGGAATCAGAGAGTAAAATTAATTTCCTTTTTCAAGCTTTAAGACGTTTTCCATATTTTAAGAACACTTGGCGATAAACATTGGTGAGATTTTAACTTTCACTATATTTACTACATATTAATGTAAGAAACTAATCCAAAACTATAACATTATTCATATACTAAATAAAAAAATCTATCTGATCTATTTAGGCGCCTCTAGAACTGCAGAAATATTTGTTTTGCTTTGGTTACTGGAGTAAACAAAGCAGCATGATGTCAAATCTAGCAGGATTTCATTGATTTCATAAACTACACAGCATCCTGATATTCGCAGATTTAATTCGAGCTAACTTTAACATACAACCATACATTACATAATATAAATAATATAAAATGTAATACTTTGCAAAATAGCATTTAAGACTTGAATACTTTAAGGGCCTTAAATTTCTCTGCATTGATTAAATACTCAAGACTCCGCAAACACCTTGATAAAGCTTTACAACTTACATTCTTTTAGGCTGTTTGTGAACCTACATCATTAGAATGATTCACGCTGATATAAATTGCCTTTTCAATCATTTTACTGCATCATCAGTGTTTATATTCAACCACACAAACACAAAGAGCAAGCTAATATATTTAAACAATTTATTTATTATTTTTTCCATTTCCATTGACAAACAAAAGAGCGATGAGTCATTTGACGATTGGAATCACTTCAACAGCGGAAGCTTTACTCAGACCAGACTATACAGATCAGCCTCAGGCTCGGGAAGCTCTGATTTTGCTGATAATAATTTACAGGTCAGCTACAGGCTTGTATGGCCAGTATGGATACTTCTGCTTGTCCAGCTTGGTCTCTGGGAAGGTGTTGTTGAGATCCTCGATGGTCATCTGATCGAAGGGGATCATGTTCCTGAACTTCTCAAGCTGCCAAGGACAAACAATCAGATGGGTCAGACATTTTGAAACTGCTAGTTTTAGTATAATTCTGCCCTATAAAGGCAAAAGACCTGAAGTCGCTGGAGAGTTGAATTGAGAAAAAAATACTTCATTTTATCAAAAATACTTAATGAATTTTTTCGACCTCCTAGACTATCTTAATCCAGCATTTCTACGATTCTGTGAATCATATATTCAAGTTCGGTAGAGAAGCGGTGGTCGCACAAGTCTTCTCATTGTTTTACATGCGTTGCTCAGCGACATGGACACCGCCAAATGATGTTAAAAGAGTCACATACTGTATTTATATGGTAGAATTTATCCCAAGATGTCATTTTTGTCTTCATGTAATGATGTATTCGCGACCGCAAAATCACAAGTGAAGTGAGCTGCTGACTGTGAGCTGTTACCACAGAGAGGGCGAGCGCACATCCTACTTAATAGGTGCATTCGACATAAAGCCGGTGATCAACGAGATTAGCCGATCGCATGCGGGGGCGGAGTTAAAAATTGAGCCGTCAAGCCTGACAGCAGGACACTTCGGGCAGTCATGATGACCGATCATGATGGCGTCATCATCTTTTTTTTTTTTAATAACAACAAAAGATTTACAGTACAAATAACATAGAATATAGTCTCTACAAACTTTAGTTCATTTTTAAACAATAAGGGAATTATGAATTAAATAATATTATACTATAATATTATTATATATATTAGACTATTTAATACAAAGCAATAAGCACAAATTCTAGGAGTTTAAAAATCCCTCTTTAGGTTAATACTTTTTATTTGAATATGCTAAAAAGGGGATTACATTACATTTTATTTAAAGTTTATAAGACTTATTTGAGTTAATATTCAGGTTATTTACTAAAAAATATCATTTAAATAATTCATAGAGCTGAATACAGTAAATAGTCTGTATATAAAAAAAAGTCTGCAAACAATCTAGCCTTTATAAACAAATGAACAAAAACATGATTACTGCAGTAAAATATTAGTAGTCATTTAATAAGCATGATTTGTACAAGATAGAGATGGTATGAAAAGTTTTTGTTTTGAAATTTGTGAATTGGAATTTGTCCAATAATAATCCCGAAACACACGTGTTTGTTGTCATGCAGTGAACTCGCGTAATATCAGTGTCGTCGTCGCAGCTCCAGCAGCCGCTCTTCAGATGCTGCACTGGCTAAATCAGTCGTCTGTTCTCGGAGCGCTGTCACTACTTTGATTCCACCTATGACAGTCATGTGGCGTCCGCGCAGCGTCAATCCGGACAATATTTCTAGCCAGTGTGCACCGCTTTAAGATTTTGATCAATCTGTGCAGCGCTGCATGAAGTCGAACGCACTATTGTCCCCTTACTCGAGTTGAACTAATTTTTGTTTGATACTTTGTTTCAATTTGCTACTTTATAATTTTCTTTTTATTATTGTAAATATTTCTCTGTTTTGTACATATTTGGCCATTATTCTGGTTTAATTTTTGTACATGAAATCACTTTTGTTGGCAGTTCTTTTGTCAGTCTTTAGCTTACATCTTCACATTGTAAAATTACCACACTTTTTAAACGTTTTTCCTTACAAGTAGGTTTCGTGAAACAGTTTCGACAGATAGTGTGCTCTTTATCTACAACAACTAATCTTACTAATACAATTCAAATTGGTTCAATTAGTTAGAAACAAGTGACGTCAACCTCAACAATGGGCAGCAGGGGGTATGACACCACTAGAGTTTCGCGATATTTTGGTTTGGTTTGTAATATAATATATCTAGATAAAGTGTAGTACCAATGCAGTTGCTAAAATTGTGTCCCTTAACACTGATGCTTCAACACCACATCATTCCAAAAATGTCTTACCTCCTTTTCATACTCTGCAATACGAGCTTTAGATGCTTCCAGGTAAGCAGCTGCAGACTTGTTCTGGAATACACCAAGAGAGCACAAAACAATGTGTGAATGACTTCACAAACAATAAACAAATAGGAATTTCATTGCTGTAAAACTTTCAATTCAAAATGTCATCAGAAAGAAAAAAAGATCAATAAAATTAAAGGGACAGTTCACCCAAAAAGGAAAATTTGCCAACTTTTAGGAATTTCTTTCTTCTGTTGAACATGAAACAAAATATTCTTAACAATGTCAGGAAATAACAGCCATTGACTTACACAACAGGAAAAAAAAAAATAGTCAAAGTCAATGGCTTTTTAAAAAGGTTTAGAACAAGTGGAAGATGAGTAAATGACGACAATTTATATTTTCTGGTGATCTATCTCTTTAAAATATCTACACTACACGTGGGTAAATAATGATGTTGTTTATTATCAAAGCACTGTAATTCATTAAATGCATAAGAACCCACAGGAGAAAACTAAATTGATAAAAGATACAGTGGCCACTGAGTTAAGACAATGGAACTTTTCATAATGTTTTTTTTTCTTTTTTTTTTTTTTTCTGATTACACAAATGCAGAAAGATCTCAGGGCTCCCACTCTCTTAACCAAATGACAAATCTGATTTATATTTACAAAAAAGTTATATCTCCATGACCTATAATGAACAATATGGCGCTGTTGTGTTTCCCATAGTATTAAAATTGTTAGAGCTTGATTGTTATTTTTCATTCATTTAATAGCCATTATGAGAATAATAATAGATAATTAACCTTATATTTTGAGCACACGGTCTAACATGGTCTATGAAGGGGTCTTTTTTTTGTAGCCAAAGCTCTTGAAGTTTACATTTTCTTGGCATGTTTTAACTGTTTCTGGTTGGTGATTGTGTTTGACTTGAGTTGTTACCAGTTACCATACAGGTAAGGAATAAAAGAGTGCTAAAAAGTAGTCTTCCAATAACATAGTAGGCAAACCATGTGAAATAAGAGATATAAAACTTAATACATTATAGAAAATTAGCATTTCAATAAATGGAAACAAATTTTTAAATCTACAAACAAAAAGTTCCTGATAAACTATAACCTGAAGGTAAGATAAAAAAAAAAAAAAAAAAAAACAATATTACTTTCAATGTCTGGAATAGAATTTTTAAAATTCCAAGATATTCCAGAAATTCCATTGGTGTGTATATATATATATATATATATATATATATATATATATATATATATATATATATATATATATATATATATATATATATATATAATTAATATGTAATTTATTTATTTATTTAATAACATTTATTTGTTTTACATTTTTGATTATTATTATTATTAATATAAAAATTTAACTACTACTACTAATAATAATTATTATTATTATTAAATGCAAATTAAATAATTAGCAAATACATCATTATATTTACTATGATAATTAAATATAGATTAAAAATAATTACTATTATGATAATGATAATTATTAATAAAAATAACAAGCATAAATAAATAAATTAATAAATAAATTAATTATGTGGTAATTAGTTACCATAAAACAATTATCAAAAATACTTTACACTTAGAATTACAGGAATAAAATGTAGGCAAACCATATGAAAAAGGCGTGATAAAACTTGATGCATTATAGAAAAATTGCATTTTGATATGTGGAAACTAATATTTAAAGCTACAAACAAAAATTGCCTGATATCCTACAACCTGAAAAAAACAAACAATATTAATTTCAATGTATGGAATAAAACTTTTAAAATTCCAAGAGATTCCAGAAAAACCATAAAAATAATAATAATAATAATAATAATTATTATTATTAGTAGTAGTAGTAGTAGTAGTATTATCAAACAATTACAAAATAAACTATTATTTTTTCATTCTGTTTTTATTACTATTATTATTATTAATAATAATAATAATAATAATAATAATATTAATAATATAATAAAATATACTTTTAATATTAATATTAATTAATAGTATGATGATGGTTATAATTTTAATTAAATGCAAATTAAGTAATTAAATTATTACATTTATTTGTATTATTATAATTTAAAATGTACATCTCATAATAATAATAATAATAATAAAAGTAATGATAATTATTATTATTAGTAGTAGTAGTATGACAATGGTTATTATTATTATTATTATTATTATTATTATTATTATTATTAATTACTATAGTGTAACATCAAGTATAAGAGGTAAAAACTCGTAAACATAAAAAAAAAAATACGTGCAAAAAAAGCCTTAAAAAAGGTGCATTTTAAGGATGATTTTACCACCTTCCAACATTCTGCATGCCTCATATTATGCGACCATAATTTCCAGAGTTTGAGTTAGGAAGGTGAACATTTAAAAGACCAAAGTCAGAGGAAAGGAGCTCGCGTCTAGTAGAGTACACCATTTACAGACCAGAGGGAACCCTGACATCTACTGGAATAAGCATAAACTACAGTATGCAGAGACTCACAGCCTCCTGCTCCTGAGCATCAATCTTGGCAGTCTGAGTGTCCACAGGCTCAGGAACAGTCAGTCCGGCAAACTGTAGGCAAATGTAGAAGTCTATTAGATGAACAGCAGAATTATAAATGGTGTGAATGAGAAATGACTGAATCTCACCTTCTTCTCAAACTCATCCACCATGCCTGCTTTGGCCACCACTGCTCTGTAGTGGCTCCAGTTGATCGTAGATGGTTTCTCTGGCAAAGATGCAAGTCTGCAAGTAAAAAAAAAAAAAGACCAGGGTACTTACTATTGGATGCAAAACTTCAATAAGCGCTTTACACATAGGGGGGAATTTCCTCATCCATCACCAGTGTGCAGCATCCACCTGGATGACATGACGGCAGCCATTTTGCGCCAGACCTCACACCACACACCAGCTGATTGGTGGAAAGGAGACAGAGTGATGAAGCCAATTATGATATGGGGAGGGTTAGGGGGCCAGTGGGCAAATTTGGCCAGGATGCCAGGGTGAAACCCCTACTTTTTTTCGAAGGACATCCTAGGAATTTTAACGACCAGAGAGTCGGGACCTCGGTTTTAACATCTCATTCGAAAGACGGCGCTCACTGAGCAGTATAGAGTCCCTATTACTATACTGGGGCATTAGGACCCACACATACCGCAGGTTGGGCACCCCCTGCAGGCCTCACTTACACCACTTCCAGCAGCAACTTATCTTTCCCATGTGGTCTCCCATACAGGTACTGACCAGGCGCAGCAATGCCTAGCTTCAGTGGGCGACCATGCGAGAGATGCAGAGAGCTAGTTGCAGGCTATAACAAAATTATTAATAACCAATTTCCAATAACTATGTTATATTTTTGCTATGGTGACTGTACATAATATTTTACTACCTATTTTGCAAGATACTAGTATTCAGCTTGAAGTGCAATTTAAAGGTTTAACTAAGTTATTATTTTAACCAGAATAACAGTATTTTGTTCCGTAAACAATAATAATAAAAAAATAATAATAATTATAAAAAAAAAATATATATATATATATATATATATATATATATATATATATATATATATATTAATAAAAGCACTCACACAAACATTTATTTATTTTATTATTATTTATGAATTTTTTTATGAAAAAAAATAAATAAATCAGGAACTACTATGAAAATTTCATTTTGGAAAATATTTATTTTAAAAATGAATCAAAAATAAATAAAATAAATGGGAATAAAAATTTCACAGGAAGGCTAATAATTTTGACTAACGTGTAATTTTGAATTTTGACTAACTAAAAAGTGTAAAAAAAACTACGTGAAATGTATTATCACATAAAGGTTCCCATTCTATGGCCCACTCTCTGACATTCAATAAATAAATTAATCAATTTCCATGACCTATAATAAACAGGTAGCGAGTATTTTAAATCAATCCATTTGAAGCTTTATTTACTTCTTTACAGATATTTTATTTCAAAAGTAATTTTTAAGTTTTGATTGATTGACAAAAAATGAAATGCAAAAGTATATTTAATCACGTGTTATGTCACATCGGTTTAGTATACTTGGTTTAATTCATGAAATTTGACTTATTGCTGGTTTACAAGTCAGAAAAAGGAATAAAACGGCATTAAAAGTAGCATAAACCATAACAATGACCAAAACACATTTAAACAATGTGCTAAGCAACCCAGTTAAAGTTACATTTTTACATTAAAGTAAATAAAAATTTCATTTTAAAACAACAACAACAACAACAAAAACTAGTATTTAACCTAACTTTCAGAAGTAAACTTTCAGAACTAACTTTCTGAAGTAAACCTTTTAAAATGTATTACCATATTACCCTGAAATTAGTGTTAAACTTTTTAATGTTATTTACTTCTTTTCAAGTTTAAATTGATGTGGCCATCATTAAGAGTAGTTTGATAAATGTTAGATATATGTATATTTTCTTCACATTAACTAGAAAAAATATTAATAATAAATAAATAAATAATAATAACAATTAATAAATCACAAAATATATATTTAAAAAAAAAAGAAAAAAAAAAGAAACAGTATACTTTAAAACTGTTTCACGTTTTAGTATTTATCCTAAAGGAAATGAATAAAATCTAGTTATATTGGGGGGATTGGGTGTTGGTGATGGAGGAGTCATGACATTTTTATATATTATATCAGAATAAATTCTGTTAAGATGTTTTCCCCCAAACATTAAGTCCAGGACCCTCCACTGATCAGCACCTGACCCGTGTTTTACTCAGGACCACAACAATCTTGGCTTACAAAGCACATTAGCTTTGTTTAAATAAATAAATAAATAAATGGCTGTAATGAATTTACCCATCGCTCCTACATAATTTACAAATTAGACAAATCGTGTGGTTCATGTTCTTCATGTACAGTCCAGTGGACTCACTTTGCTGAGATGGCATCGCTGCGGGTCTTCAGACTGTTGAACATGGCCCTCTGGTTCGGTGGGACCCTCTCTGCAAAAGCCAGCCAATCAATGGCCTTCACGGCTGCACGTCGACCTGCCATTTTGCTGCTTCTACCAAAACATTTTAATTCAGAGGTGCTTATTATGAACTTCGCAGAAGTTAAGCAAAGACCATCAAGTGCATGCAAAGTAAACTGTATAAGCAACAACTCCCAAGGAAAATAAATTCATGCATATGTCAATTTATTATTATTTATAATATTTATTATTATTAATAACAGTTTGAACTTTTAACCAAGTGTTTACTTCAGTCTAACAGAAAGACAACATCCAAAATTTCGGTTATCAGACTGTATTAATTTGTGTCTGTAGATTTAAATTACAACACATATGTATTTTTAGGATTGCCTTCTCAAAATTTATATCTTGGTCTTTGCACAGAGCCATAAATGTCCACCTCAGCAGCAGGTGACTACACCAAACTTCACAGTTGTATTAATATCTGTATTCTGAAGGTTTTTACACACATTTATGTTCATAATTTGCCCAATTATGTATATATACAGAGCATTTAAAAATGTGTATTTTTGGGTATAGTGTTACTGAATTATGAAGAAGAGCAATTCAAGTGTTATGGATGTGACATTTGCAGTAAAAACTAAGAACATAAATTCACATGAAAAGTGAATGTTAACATATATTGAAACATCATTATACATATATATATATTATATGTTTTTAGAACAACTGACCACTGAGTTGAGGGAGTAGAACACTATCAATCTGTAAACATGCATGTACTTTTAATGAGGAAAATAAGTATGCGTTATGGATGCGAGTTTGCAGTATAAGAGATACTTTGTAGAAATTCTGTAAATTAAACTGCACAACCCAAAAGAAATGATGCTAATCAAAAGGATAAAATGTCTCTCTATAGAACAAAAATTTACTTTTTTTCAATTTGACATTTTTGCATTTATGAGGGAAAAAAAGTGTTGTTATGGATGTGAACATCTCTCTGTTATGGATGTGACGGATCTGAAATTGCCAGTTGTGTGACTTTGGTAAATCAAAGATAATAGTTTGAAAACACTGACAGAAACATTTTTTTGAGTATTTCCAAAGTACTGTAAAATACAAGCCTACAAAAAAATAAATAATAATAATAATAATAAATAAAAATAAAACGTAGAAACAGTTTCATATTTTGGTAAAAACTTTTTTCATGACAAGGTTGACATTTGCATGGAATTGCCCAGTAATAAAAAAACACCAAAATTACCTTTGTAAAAGTCGTTGAAATAAAATAATAATAAATCACCTGAATTAATTCAATGTCAAAATGTCTGTGCTATAGAAATGTATGCAACTTGGTGTGTTTAACAAAATAAAGCCCCATTTGTGTAACAAGGCATATATATATATATATATATATATATATATATATATATATATATATATATATATATATATATATAAATTATTATTTTTTTTGCAAACTTGCAATGCAATACAGTTTATATAATTGAACTATTCTTAGAATAGTCATTTATAGCTCGTTATTTTAATTCTCGCCATTATAGCTCATTTTTAAACAATTCACCTTGCCTTCATTATAAATGTTTTAACGTAAAGCATTATATAGTAAGCTATATTTGAACATGTGTTATTAGTATACAAAAATAATACTGAATGTTTAGATGTTATATGCAAACATTTGTGAATACACGACTCAGAAAGACACGACTTTACTTACTTAGCTATAAGGTTGATCTCTTTTCTCATTTAAACAGTTCTCATAACAATTTAGATGCATTTTGATTACAGGAATATGGCAAATTAAAACAAAAGAAATGATAATCCTTCTCTAACGCAGAGATAAGTCAACAAGACAAGGTCAGCGTGTTGCGAGCTGACAAATACAACTATGTAAACTCCACGTCGTGTCTCAATAACAGTAGGCTACGTCCTAATATTAATTGTTATGTCGAGAAAAGATAATAGGACCTGTAATTATTAGGAAAATGATGGAATCTTGACCGTACTTACTGCTCAAGGATCAAGCCGCTGCAATGACAGAAGCGTGATGGCGGCTGGAGAGCGGAAACGCGGTTAAGAAAGCAGCGCTCCTTACTGAGACCCAGCGGCTTGGAGAAAAACTGCAGCTCATATGAATAACACACTAGACTGACGAGTCCACCAGAGGGCAGGAAACAGACACATGGCTTAATAAGATTATCCCCTAAGGATTAATATTTTTGTGTAATTTAATTTAAAAAATAAATTCTACATTTGAAGTCAACGGTTTCAGCTTTCTTCAAATATATGTCTGCTTTAAAATAACATGGCAATATTTTGATGCTTGTTTGCTGTTTTAAGCTCTTTTTTTTGCAGGTCATGTTCATCCATTTATTTTTTTCGGCTTAGTCCTTGAGCCACAATCAATAAATTTTGCATTATTTTTTTTTCTTTATAGTTAAAGTCCCTTCAATAGTATTTGATACAATTGATTATTTTATCATATTGATCTTTTTTGCAACCCTGTAAACACCCATATACTCATTCACACACTAATACACATGGCCAACTTAGTTTATTTAATTATACCACATGTCTTTGGACTATGGAAAACCGGAGCCCCTGATGGAGGAAACCCACACGAACTTGGGGAGAGTGAGTACCCTGCCGCCGCTTATCCTTAACAGAAAATAAATAAATAAATAAATAAATAAATAAATAAATAAATAAATAAATAAATAAATAAATAAATAAATTAACTTGAGGTAAATGAACAAAACATATGTTAAAATCACTTCAAATTATGGTAATCATTGTTACTTTTCTGATTTGCAAAGAAAATAACCATGCATGTGCTCTTTTTTTGTCCCTCTGTGTTTGTATACCTTGTGATCCTTATGACAAAATGTCCTCAATATTTGATTTGTTAAAAAATAAAAGAGCATGCCTAAAACGTTTTATTGTTATTCATATTAATTCATTTTCTTTTCGGCTTAGTCCCTTTATTAATCCGGGTCGCCACAGCGGAATGAACCGCCAACTTATCCAGCACGTTTTTGTAGCGGATCCACACAAACACATTCACACTTATACAGTACAGACAGTTTAGCTTACCCAATTCACCTGTACCGCATGTCTTTGAACTGTGGGGGAAATTGGAGCACCCGGTGAAAACCCACGTGAAAGCAGGGAGAACATGCACACTCCACACGGAAACGCCGATGCTCGAACCAGCAGCCCAGCGACCTTCTTGCTGTGAGGCAACAGCACCTACTGCGCCACTGCGTTATCACAGTATTTGCATTTTCTTTTTTAATAAAAAATACAGTTTAATACAATTAAAAACAGCATTCATAAAAATATTTTTTTGTAATACTGTCACCTGTGTGATAATATCAAGGCCTATTTTTATACAATTAAAAATAAACTACAAAGGTTACAGCCAAGACTGCTTGTCAGCAAAAAAAAAAAAAAAAAAAAAAAAACAATCTGCCAGTTGTAAGAAATTAATTTCTAAGTAAAAACAACCATATCAGCAAAACAAAACATTAAATACATAAATAAATTGACTACCATATTATTTAAACGTACTCCTTAACATTATTATGTGATATTAATAAGACTGCTGTAAGAAAACGAAAAAAGCAAGAAAGAAAAACCTATGAAAACACCTTATCTTATCATGAAAACGGGATGCTCTTTGTTGAGGTGGGTGGGATTGACGAAATTGTCACTGTCATGCTATTACGTCAGAGTTCGATATTGTGGCAAAGGGGCAAGGATGAAAAAAATCATGATGGAGTTGATAAAGTACAGTCACGAGCTCCCTGTAATCCCGTCTCCATCGCAGCGCTGCCCGCAGGGAGAGTTGCGCGTTCCCGCAGCGCCAGAGCTCGCGTGCCGTTCAACACGCGGGTCACGCAGGGCCGGACAGGGCGAGCGAGCGGTCAACAACAGGACCACTACACGGCAAGAACAGATGACCACCAGCTCCTAAAGGTGAGGGGAGAAACATAATAATAAAACTGCTGGATGTTTTTTAGGGGAGCTTCATCACACGGATGAGTAGCCGCGCGCGAGTAAAACAGGTGTGTTGATGTCATCTCATTATCTCTGCTTTGATGCTGGTGGTAGGATATGCGTTAAAAAGTGAGATGAACGGTAATCTATAGATACGTGTTTTACAAGGTAAATGTAGCTTTAATTTGTGTTATGATGAAATTAATTACTAGTGTGCTAACTGTTATTATATTAAACAACCAACCTGTAGCACGTGCAATTTGTTCATGTAGAGACAGCGAAAAATATTAAGCGTGATACAAACATATTGTCGGTTGCCAGTTACAGTTATTCATAGGTCCATGTGGACCAGTGCCCTCAGGAGCTGTTATGCCTGTATGTGCGTGTGATGCTGTGAAACTAAAAAAAAGAGGAATTAAGAAACTCTAAAGGAGCGCTGAGAATAAATCAGATTTATATTAGTCAAGATCTATATTCGTCAGTAGCTTGATCAATTTCCATAATAAGATGTATTAGAATTTTTTTTTTATTTATTATTATAAGAGTTATTTTATATTGGTTTATTTATAAAGACACGTTGTGATACTGAAATTTTGTGGATGTGCATATGCAATATTATCGAAATAATAATAAAACAATAAAAAAGACACACTGCAAGCTTTAAAGCAAAATCAGATGTTTTGAATCATGATGCTCTCATGGGCAAAATCATAAAAATGCAAAACCCTACAGAAACTGATTTACATAATAAAAATCATATTCATAATTTACTCAATGTTGTTTGCATAAGAAGCCATCATTATATTACCATATGTCTAAAACATAAAGTAAATAATAAAAATGAATTATATTTATAATTGTTATAACCCTAACTCTCAGATTGAATTAAATATACATTTACACAGTCAAATATAATATAATATAATATAATATAATATAATGTAATATAATATAATATAATATAATATAATATAATATAATATAATATAATATAATGTAATATAATATAATATAATATAATATAATATAATATAATATAATATAATATAGGGCGAAGCAGTGGCGCAGTAGGTAATGCTGTCACCTGACAGCAAGAAGGTCGCTGGGTCGCTGGTTCCAGCCTCGGCTCAGTCGGCGTTTCTTTGTGGAGTTTGCATGTTCTCCCTGAGTTCGCGTGGGTTTCCTCCGGGTGAACATTAGCGAAATGTTTCCCAGAGATGTGTTGCAGCTGGAAGGGTATCCGCTGCATAAAACATATGCTAGATCAGTTGGCGGTTCATTCCACTGTGGCGACACCAGATTAATAAAGGGGCTAAGATGAAAAAAATGAATATATAATATAATATAATATAATATAGGGTGGCATGTTGGCTCAGTGTTTAGTGCTTTCGCCTCACAACAAGAAAGTTGCTGGTTCAAGTCCTGGTTGGGTCATTTGGCATATTTGTGTGTAGTTTGCATGCTCTCCCATGTTCTCGTGGGTTTCCTCTGGGTGCTACGGTTTCACCCACAGTCCAAAAACATGTGGTATAGGGAAATTGAATAAACTAAATTATCAGCAGTGTACTGAATTTCCCAGTACTGGGTTGCAGCTGCTAGGGCATCAACTGTGTAAAACATATTCTGAATAAGTTGGCAGTTCATTCGGCTGTGGCGACCGCTGATTATTAAAGGGACTATGCCAAAAAAAGAAAATAAATGAATGAATGAATATTGTAATAAATGTACATAAGCATTAAGCAAATTTATGGGGTGTGAACTTCTTTATTATGGAAAATGTGATAGTAGGAAATATAATTTCCAAACATTTGTGCTATAAAATCATTTTATTATGTCACTTTCAAACACAAAACCAGTCATATGGATAAATTTTTGAAATTGAAATATATACGTCATCAGTAAGCTGAATAAATAAGCTTTTCATTGGTGTGTACAGTTTGTTAGGAGTGGACAACATGCAACTAAATATTGTGAAAATTGCCTTTAAAGTTGTTCAAATGAAGTTCTTTAATACATATTACTAATCACAAATAAAGTTTTACTTGAAATGCAGTTGAAAATATACAAAGTTTACTTCATTTTATAATCATTTTGGAAATTAAATAAAGAAATAAAAACAGTAAAATCAAAATTATTAGCCCTCCTGCTAAATTGTTTTTCTTTTTCAAATATTTACCAATTGATGTCTAACAGAGCAAAGGTTTTTTTCACAGTATTTCCTTTAATTTTTTTTTCTGCTAAAGAAAGTCATTCATTAATTTTCGTTTCGGCTCAGTCCCTTTATTAATCTGGGGTCAACACAGCGGTATGAACCGCTTACTTATCCAGGATATGTTTTATGCCGCGGATGCCCTTCCAGCTGTAACTCACACATACACTACAGGCAATTTTGCTTTTACCCAATTCACCTTTACCACATGTCTTTGTACTTGTGAGGGAAACTGGAGCACCCTGAGGAAACCCACAAGAACACGGGGAGAACAGGGAAAACTTCATACAGAAATGCCAACTGACACAGCTGGGGCTCCTACCAGCAACCTTGTTGCTCTGAGGCAATTGTGCTACCCACTGTGCCACCGTGCTGCCTCTGGAGAAAGTGTCATTTCATTATTTTTAAAAATTTTTTTTTTTTAAACATTAAGGTCATAAGGTCTAATACTACTAATATTACAGTCTTCAACTGTATATAATTTTGATCTGCACAATGTCTTTTCCTACAAACATATCAGTGGTATTGTGGAGTCTCACTTCTGCTTAGATTGTAATATGTCCTGTGTCCTCGCTGTAGGCCTTTGAGTGAGGAGAAACAATGACAGAGGGCGTGGAGGTTCATCAGCCCCAACCGAACACTACTGTAACCCGAAGCAGAGCATCTTCTCTGCAGGCCTTTGAGAACGCGGACACGGCCAGCTGCAAGTCTGAGGAGCCGGACCAAGAAGAAGAAGAAGAGCAGTCCTCCTCCACCCTTCCAGAGGAGCGGCACTGTTCAACTGGAGGCCAAGCAAATGCACAGCTGGCTCCTGATGGAGGCTGGGGTTGGGTGGTCGTTGCTGCCACAATTCTGGTCTTAGCCATGACTCTGGCTTTCCCGTCCTGCATCGGGATATTTTACACAGAGCTGCAGAGCGACTTCCAGGCAAGCAACACCGAGACGTCATGGGTGCCGGCCATCATGATGGCAGTGCTGCACGCATGCGGTAGGGAGAATCTTGGATTCTTGTGTGTCGTGATGCAATCTTCACAGCGCTCCCGCATTTACACTCACCACAGGCTCAGATACAGTACCTGAGACAAACACTTCTATCAAGTTACTGTCATTAATCAGTTGTGCAATGCTGATCTGTTTCGTAACAAGAAAGATAAATATGCACCGAGGTCACAGGATGACAGTGGGATTTATGGCTTCAAGTTATAGAGCACCCAAAATAACGATAAATTGTAGTTATATTACTCACTGTCAGGTCATTAAAGTTCTAGGTCAATGGTCACCAAACTTGTTCCTGGAGGGCCGGTGTCCTGCAGATTTTAGCTCCAACCCTAATCAAACACACTTGAACAAGCTAATCAAGGTCTTACTAGGTATACTTGAAACATCCAGGCAGATGTGTTGAAGCAAGTTGGAGCTAAAACCTGCAGGGACACCGGCCCTCCAGGACTGAGATTGGTGACTCCTGTTCTAGGTGATCCGTAACATTGAACGGATTAGCTATGTTTGATTTGATTTGGTTTATTTAGTTCCAACAGAATATCATACACTTAAAACAATACTTTAAACAAAACACATTTCATCATAATCAACAAAAATATTTACGCTTCCATATAAACTTAAAGTAACAAGTGAATTTACAGTAGCCGGTTCGAGATAAAGCAGGACGAAGCACAAGATTATTAATATTTCCATCCAAAGAATTCTACATGTACAACACTGGAATATCTGTTACCTTTTAATGAGTCAAAGAGAACAAAATTGTTACATCTTGAAAAAACAGGCACTAAATATATATATATATATATATATATATATATATATATATATATATATATATATATATATATATATATATATATATATATATATATATATATATATATATATATATATATATATATATATATATATATATATATATATATATATATATAGTTGAAGTCAGAATTATTTGGCCCCTTTGAATGTTTTTCTTCTTTTTTAAATATTTCACAAATTATGTTTAACAGAGCAAGGACATTTTCACAGTATGTCTGACAATTTTCTTCTGGAAAAAGTCTTATTTGTTTATTTTGACTAGAATAAAAGCAGTTTTATATTTTTTTAAAAACATTTTAGGGGCAAAATTATTAGCCCCTATGCTTAGAAATGTGTTGAAAAAAATATTTTCTATGTTAAACAGAAATTGGGAAAAAAATAAATAAACAAGCGGTCTAATAATTCAGGGGGGCCAATAATTCTGAATACAACTGTATATACATATAGAATTCATTCAAGGATTTTTTGAGGGAGTTTAGATTGAACAAAACAACATTTCAGATATTTTACTATTTGGTCCATTTTTGGTTTGTCCATAAACACCATCCCAACACACAGTTTTGATATCACATGATCTGTTAAAACAGACTTTTTTGATGTGCATACCTATAATTGATTAGGAAAAGTGTTTCCTCATGTGCATTTATTTCTTATTGGATAAAAAGTTTATCCTTCTTTATCCTTTGGTTCAAAACGCTTAATGGTAGCTAAGCTGTAAAGCTTAAAAAAATCATAATCACGGTTATTTTGGTCAATATTGTAATCACGATTATTTAAAGCAGTGGTATCAAACTCGGTTCCGGAAGGGCTGCAGTTCTGCACACTGTAGTTCGAACTCTAATTAAACACACCTGATTAAACTAATTGAGCCTTTCAGCCTGTTGTTAAAGTTGTTTGAAACCTACAAGTAAAGCTGAGGTCACACTAGAGTTTGAGCTTGTGAAAATCTGTTGTACTGTGCTGCGAAAAAGGGGATTAGACATAAAAAAAGTGAGCGATTGGTCCATATTTAAAATTTTTGTCCAAGAAGTTATGTTTTGATCTTCGATTGATCTCACACAGTCAAGTGATGCGATTTTGCAGGCCAGAGTTCAGCATGCTTGAACTTTGCAACGCAGCGAACTGTGAAACTTGTTTCGGAAATGTTTCCGATCTGAAACATTATTGTGCGTATAAAAGGAAGCCTATTGGGAGAAAATTGCAGTGTGACCACAGCTTAAGCGTGTTAGAGAAGGGTTGAAACTAAGCTGTGCAGGACTAAACCCTCCAAAAAAAAAGTTTAACAGCCCAGATTTAAAGCGTTTATGAGTGGGCTCTATATATATATGACCATAACATTAGCTAAAAACAAACAAAGAAGTTAAAAAATCCTCAAAATTATTGAAGATAATTAATAAATGTAGTAGAATAAAATATACAAGTCAAACTGTGCTTCAAGTTTGGCCTTTATTCCAAGAATTAAACTTGATTTGTTTCTAATTAAAACTACAAAAGTCCTTCAGTCAAGAGCAATGAGTGATTTTGTCGTTAAATAATGAGAAGCAGGAATATAATTCACTGTTTTTTAAGAGCCGCCTGGATCCAGTTTATGTTCATTTATTACACAAAAAAAGGGTTTATGTGAATAATCAATCAGTTTGATCATTTACAAAATTCCTTCAATTCACAGTCTCAGCAAACAGTCCAGAATGCATTTAATGACTGTCTGGAGCACGCACACTTCCTGTTGCAAAGCGATGTACACCAAATGTTAGGAGTCTGTAAATAGTCAATATTCTGTAAGTTAAGGTCATAATTCTTGCACAGATCGAATATTTCAAATGATAAAACCTAAGTGTAGAATCATGAGTACCATGGATTAATTTTGTTTTGTCTGTATATGTTTTTTTTACTCTCTGTGTACCATTAACTGTTGACTTGCATGAATCAAGGACCACAGTTTCAGCAAAAAAAAAAAAAAAAAAAAAAAATATATATATATATATATATATATATATATATATATATATATATATATATATATATATATATAAACATAAGTCTTTAATGTCCTAAACAATGAGAAGAGATCTCCAAAATTCTTAATGCCTTGTAAATTAAGAGCAAATTTTTATAACTGAGCTTCAAAATCAAAAGTAGCCCACGTGCTCTGTCAGGACACATGGAAACAGGTGTACATTGACAAATCACTTCATAAGTGAACTGATCCAGTGTTTGCACAGTCAGTCCAGCTCAAAGGAAAGCTGACGTGGTGAAAAGGATTTGGGAGACTGGCATTTTTATTCAGCTTAATGCAGCTCAGTATTCGTTACTAGGCAGCTGTGCACGAGGACAAAGTACACCTGATATGCAAACATTACAGTCCATTACCATGTTATGTAATGTGTAAGACATTGTACACACTGTAAATAAATCCAATTAGATTTATTATTGTTTGAAAAAAAATCCCTATATATTTATCAATTAAATGTCACTTCTTTTAGCAAAAATCATAAAACATCTAACTGCATTTTAAACAAACGATTTAAACAGTTGAAATCAGAATTATTTGCCCACCAGAATTATTATCCCTGCTGTTTATTTTTTCCCCCAATTTCTGTTTAACATTTTTTCAACACATTTCTAAACATGATAGTTTTAATAACTCATTTCTATTAACTGATTTATTTTACCATGATGACAGTAAATAATATTTGACTAGATATTTTTCAAGACACTTCTATACAGCTTAAAGTGACATTTAAATGCTTAACTAGGTTAATTAGGTTAACTAGGCAGGATTGGGTATTTAGTCAAGTTATTTTATAGTGATGGTTTGTTCTGTAGACTATCGAAAAATTATTTTTAAATTTTATAGTTTAAAGGGGCTAATAATTTTGTCCTTAAAATGGTATTTAAAAATTAAAAACTGGTTTTTGAAATAAAACAAATAAGACTTTCTTCAGAAGAAAAAAATATTATCAGACATACTGTGAAAATCTCCTGAATCTGTTAAACATGTACAAACATGTATAATGAGGGAAATAAACATGTGTTTTGGATGTGACAAAAAGTCTGCAAGTTTACAGTATACAACATATGCTGTAGAAATTCATGTGAATTAACTAAATTAATTAATTTGCACAACCCAAAAGGTTGCTCCGGGTGCTCTGGTTTTCCCCACAGTCCAAAGACATGTGGTACAAGTGAATCGGGTAGGCTAAATTGTCCGTAGTGTATGAGTATGAATGAGTGTGTATAGATGTTTCCCAGTGATGGGTTGCAGCTGGAAGGGCATCCACTGCGTAAAACATGGTGGAGAAGTGGGTGGTTCATTCTGCTTTGGCGACCCCAGATTAATAAATGGACTAAGCCGAAAAGAAAATGAATAAATGAGTTTTGCTATTTTGGCGAAAACTTTATTTTTTTTTCATGGCAAGGTTGACATTTGCATGGAATTGCTCATATACAGTTGAAGTCAGAATTTTTCGCCCCCTTTGACATTTTTTCCTTTTTTAAATATTTCACAAATGATGTTTAACAGAGCAAGGAGATTTTAACAGTATGTCCGATAATATTTTTTCTTCTGAAGAAAGTCTTATTTGTTTTATTTTGGCTAGAATAAATGGAGTTTTACGTATTTTTATAAACCATTTTGAGATCAAATTTATTAGCCCCTTTAAGGGAGTTTTTTTTTTTTTTTTTTGATTGTCTCCAGAACAAATCATCGTTATACAATAACTTGCCTAATTACCCTAATCTGCCTAGTTAACCTATTTAACCTAGTTAAGCCTTTAAATGTTACTTTGGCTGTATAGAAGTGTCTTGAAGAACATCTAGTCAAATAATATTTACTGTCATCATGACAAAGATAAAATAAAACAGTTATTAGATTTAAGATATTAAAACTAATATATTTAGAAATGTGTTGAAAAATCTGCTCTCTGTTAAACAGAAAAAGGGAAAAAATAAATAGAGGGGCGAATAATTCTGACTTCAACTGTGTACTGAAATAGGCTGAAATAAAAAGACAACAATGACAAAGATACACCAACATTACTATATCTTTTAAGCTGAATTTTTAAAGAGATAATTAAAAAAAAACTTTAATAAAATTGCAGAAGCTACTTAAAATGCTAATGTATAAAGTGTTAACACTACACTGTCTCAGTTTAGTAGTACTGAAATCATTTATTTGTTTAAAAACACAGTACAAATGTAATACTTAAAATATTAGAGCAGTCATTAATTCAGTATTCTAAGAAACCTCATTTCTGTGTTTGGAACAAGTGGAGGGTTTTTTGTGTTGTTGAACTACCACCTGCAGTACATACTGTATCTTTAAAAACAAGCTTGAGCTATAGTGAAAAAACACATACATTACATAGTGTGTAGGGAATAGCGCACTCTTTATAGAAACCCTGTGAAGCGAAATGCTTGTGTTGGGTCAGAGAGCTCTTGAGTCTGGCAGGTGGTTGTTATTATATACCCGACCTGGCTCAGGAACAGCCGTTCTCTGTGAGAAGTGTTTATTAATCTTTCTAGCCCTTTCTTTTTGCTGTCTGCAGGAAATGTTCCTGCCAAAGACAATGTTAAGGTGATCCTGTGAGTTTGTTTTCATGCGGTGCCGTGACACTCAGAGCATTCATTTAAGAAGGGCAAATGTTCAATCTCTCTCGAGGTTTTAAAGAGCTTGAAGTAATTTGCCCTGTACTAAGTCTTGTTCTCTGTGGGTGCGAAGTGTCAAATCTAATTTCAAGTTTCCTTTTTAACAAAAAAAAAAAAAGGTAAAGGTAAAGTGATGATTATGCTCACACTTGTTTGAGCATCTGGTGTCATGAAATCCTCTCATTTGATGACATATAACAATTTTTTTTTAGAGGTGTTTACCTTTTTTCTAATCCCAGATTAATGTGCAAAGAAATTTAGAAGTAAGCCGGATTTCCTCAAGTGTAATTTCAGAACATTCCTCTGTTTGTTTAGTTGAGATTGGGACAGGATCACAGTTAGTTTTCCGGTTCAGAGGATTAGCTGACTAGTAACTAAAATACACTTTTGTTTTTAAATAAAATTGTGATGACGATACTTTTTACACATTAGATATTACCCCTTAAAGCAGGGGTATCCAAACTCAGTCCTGATGGGCTCAGCAGGACACCGGCCCTCCAGGATCTAGTTTGGACACCCCTGCCTTAAAGGAACAGTTCACACAAAAATTAAAAATAACCTCATTGTTTACTCACCCTCAAGCCATCCTCAGTGAATGACTTTATCTCGCATATGAATACAGTCAAAGTAGATTCCAATTTTATTCTGGCTCTTCCATGCTGTAAAATAGTGTTGGGTGGGGACTTTTATTTTAAAGCTTCCAAAAATGCAGCTTCCAAAAATGCATAGATACTTCGTCAAACAAACCTATACCCTACTAGGAGGTTAATGCATATCTTATGAAGCTGTTGATGTTTCTATAATGCCTACAAGACATTCGTAGCTGAAGCTTTGGGAAAACTAGTAGGCTTAGTGGTACTGTATAGTATGTATGTATGCATGTATGTATGTATCTATATATATTTAAAGTCAGAATTATTGGCCCCCGTGAATTATTCGCCCCTCTGTTTATTTTTCCCCAATTTCTGTTTAACGCAGAGAAGATTTTATCAACATATTTCTAAACATAATAGTTTTAATAACTCATTTCTAATTACTGATTTATTTATCTTTACCATGATTACAGAACATAACATTTTACTAGATATTTTAAGGCACATCTATACAGCTTAAAGTGGCATTTTAGGCTTGACTAGGTTAATTAGGTTAACTAGGCAGGTTAGTGTAATTAGGCAAGTTATTGTATAATGATAGTTTGTTCTCTAGACTCTGAAACATTTATAGCTTAAAGTGGCTAATAATATTGAGCTTAAAATGTTTTTTAAAAAATATTAAACTTATTTTATTCTAGCCAAAATAAAACAAATAAGACTTTCTCCAGAAGAAAAAAATATTATCAGACATACTGTGAAAATCTCCTTGATCTGTTAAACATAATTTGGTAAATATTTAAAAAAGAAAAAAATCTAAAGGGGGATAATAATTCTGACTTCAATTGTATATATATATATATATATATAATATCAGTCACATTTAAAATATATAAATATATTAAATATTAAATGTCAGTCACATATAATGTGCATTTGACCACTGCCGAAAGTCAGTCATTTAGTTAATAATTAAAAAAAAATCATTTCATAAGACATTTGTTTACCCCATGATTAAACATATCAAAGTAAAAAAAAAAAAAAAAAATAGTCATATGGTTTACAACATTTAGTTTTACAACAGTTTTATCCAGTTTTGAAAGTGTCAAAGTAAAGGCAGCATGCAACACCATTATGTTTACAGCATGGAAAAGCCAGCATAAAAAACTACTCTGTGTTCATCTGACACAACAAAGTCATACATTGAGGGTGAGTAAATTATTGTATAATTTTCATTTTTGGTTAAACTACTATATTGCATTATTTGCAATAATTTTTTTCCCCCCCAAAACAGTATCACATATTTGGGTCTTGGGTGACCCAGACCAAATGTCTAAGATGATTCTTTGACTGCTGCAATAGCTTAAACATCTGTCTACAATTACTTTTGATTGACCAAAACAGCATTTAGTAATAATGACTAGGTGGAGTACATACTCAAATGTAGTTTATTAGCCAATTAGCCCAGGATTGGTCAGATCTGGTGCTTGAGATCTGGTGTCGTGCAGAGTTTAGCTTCTTCCTTGGTCAAACGTACCTATCTTTAGCTTTTGAGTAATCCTGAAGGTATCAATTAGCTTGTTCCGGTGTGTTTGATTAGAGTTGAAGCTAAACACTGCAAGGGTGTGGATTTTAAGGGATAAAGTTGCCCTGAATTATAGCCAGCTATAAAATGTCAAGATTTACAATCCACTAAACTGATCTCAAACCAGCTCTATTTTTTCCACCACTCCACATTTTGGCACATAGAGTCAAATTCAAAACCACTTAACATACAAAATGTCAATTCAAACAGTGTCTTGTTTCCACCTTGATTACATGTGAGTGGTCATCTACATCTACCATTCATTTTGTCAAAATATATTAAGTTTATAGTGAATGTACTGACAATAGTGTATGAATTATTGCTCTTATTATGTTTGATTAAATATTATAGAGTCCATTATGTAATATTTGCAAGTTCAAATGTTTCTATCTCATGTAAAGTTGAGTATATCTGTATGGAAAAGTGAGCCTCCTCCATAATCAAATTCAAGCCTTTCTGCCAAAGCTTTGATTTTCGGATAAAGTGCTTTATCCCATAATCTCATTTTTATGTTTTGTGTGGGGTGGGGGTGTACCGTTGTTTGAGATTATCTGCTTCCCTTAGATGAGATCATCTGTAAGTCAAATGCATCTATTGTGTGTGAACATCATGACAGTGTATTTGGGACCAACCATGTTCATTATTGTTCACATTACAATGCCATTGTTTTTTTTGTTTTTTCCGTAGGCCCCATATGTAGTGTTCTAGTGGAGCGCTGTGGTTGCCGTGCAACTATAATTATTGGCGGGATCCTTAGCGGACTGGGAATGGCAGCCAGCTCATTTGCACAGACAATGGTAGAGCTGTATATCACCGCTGGCATTATCACAGGTTTGTGTACAGTAAATTATCTTCTGACAAACACTGATTTTGTTGCTCAGCAGGCCACATAGACTAAATTATTATCTTTCCCTCTCAGGAATGGGATTCTCTTTGTGTTTCCAGCCATCGATCACCATGGTGGGCCACTACTTTGTGCGTCGCAGGGCGTTCGCCAATGCCTTGTCTTCCACTGGCACCGCACTGGGTCTCAGCATCCTTCCATTGCTGGCTAACTATCTGCTCAGAAACTTTGGTTGGCGGGGTAGTTTTCTGGTACTCGGAGGGGTTCTGTTGAACTGTTGTGTTTGTGGCGCAGTGATGCGCCCCCTTGCAGCCAAACCAAAAACGGAAACCAGAACCAAAGAGACGGACAATCACCACCTCAAAACCAACTGCCTTTCTGTTCATCAGGGCCTAAAAGGTCGTCTGCGGGCAACTCTCTCCACAATTATGACTTTCCTGCGCCGGCACATGGCTTTCGACCTGCTGTGCAGTAACCCATACTTCTGTGCCTATGCTCTTGGGGTGTCCTGGATGATGCTGGGTTTCGTGGTGCCTCTAGTTTATCTGGTTCCTTATGCCACTGCATACGGTATGGAACAAGACCAAGCAGCTCTCCTGATGGCCATTTTGGGATTGATCAACATCATAGTTCGACCAGCAACAGCGATCGTTTTTGGGCTCCCTCGTTTCAGAGGAAGCCATAATTTCGCCTACCTCTTTGCAATAGCCGTGGTAATCAATGGGTTGAGCAACTGTGTCTGTGGGATTGGGACAAGCTTCCTAGTTCTGCTGGTGTATGTCATATTGTTTGGCTTTTCCATGAGCCTTGTTGGCTCTTTGTTGTTCACTGTACTGATGGACACTGTGGAAATGAGCCGCTTCCCATCTGCCCTGGGCCTCATCAGCATTATGGAGAGCATCATGCTACTGCTTGGACCACCATTAGCAGGTACTGTAGTTTTTTTCTTGTGTATAGTTATATTTATTATTGGATTGTAGCTTCATTATTTTCCCAACCAAGTCTGTAAAATTTCAGAACAGAGATATATAGAAAGATGCAGCATATTGGCAAAGGTTTTGAGACATCTGGATTTATTATCACAGGAACTTTAATGACACAACAATCTTAGGGTGCTTTCACAACTGTAAATCGATTCATTTGTGCCAAAACAGGGATTAAAATTGTTACATTGTTGCTTTTTGTTCTTGGTGCGGTTTGCTTTTCACAAGTTTCTAAACAGACCAAAACAGCTAAAACAAGTCATGTGTGAGTAAACTCTCCTCACATTGGTCAGAGTACCGCGGTTTATTTTGCAGAGTCTCGATCAGATGTCGGGGGAGTGGTGGTTTGGTGGTTTGACAGGGTGTGTGCGACGTGTCTGAAAAGCAAGGAGGGATGTGGTGGTGAGGTGTGGGAAGGGTTCACAACGTATTTGAAGAATGGTAGGGAGATGCACGATTACCGGGAGATTATCACTCGTTTGCGAGCTTCCGGGAGTCTCCCGCAAATGCACAGAGACTTCCGGGAGACTTGGGATGTCTTGAATGACCTCCCGCCCTACTCATAATTCTCTCTTCATATAGCCATATGCCTATTACATATCCATAAAACACTGTGATATAAACAGGCTCGGGTTGTATCGCTTTCTCACTACAATCAGTCCGCTCCAGAGTTTGTTTCACTCGAGCCGAGACCACCTCATTCAGGCGATGTCGGACCGATTGTTTTGGCGCGAAACTGAGCATGATTGCTGGATTCACATATGCCAAACAAACAGTGCTAACTGGGCAAACGAGACAGTTTCCGAAAAAAAAGTCTAGGTTTGAAAGCACCCTAAATTTGAGGATTTATGTTGAGTTGGCCCACCAAAGCTTTAGTCCTTTCCACAGGGTTTCGGAGTGTGTTTATGAACATTTTTGACCATTCTTCTAGAAGCACATTTGTGTATAACAAGAAGGCCTGGCTTGCAGTCTCAATCCTAATATAGGGTTGAGATCAGGACCCTGAGCAGGCCAGTCATGTTCCTCCAGACCAAACTTCCCCATTCATGTCATTATGAAGCTTGCTTTATGTGCTGGTACAAAGTCATTTTGAAACAGCAAAAGGTCATCCTCAAACTGTTCCAACAAATTTGGGAGCATGAAATTGTCCAAAAAATCTTGATATGGGTCAAATCCAGGCCTTGAAAAACTACTCCTTGAAATCATTGGTTTGGACATGTTTTGAAAATATAGTGTTCTTAATCAAACCTTTTTGTAAAGAGATCTGAATAAAACTATATCAAGCAGTTATTCCAAACCTTCCAAAAAGGCACAATTTTAATTTTGGGGTAAACTATCTCTTTAAGATATTTTTTTTAATTGTAAGTATGGGAAATAGGTTATATTCTGTATTTCCTCATTTAAGTAGACGGGAATTTATTTCAGATGAATGAAATGGCTGTCCAGAGGCACTTGACATCCCTGGGGCTTGTACTATGAAGCCAGATTAGCTAACTAGCCAGTTTATTTTCAGTTTGTACCAATTCTGGGTTTTATGTTTTAGGTAGCTCATCTCAGCACAGCTGCTACGTATATAAAACCATGGCAACAAAGACTGGTTACAGTAAAGCTGCCTTCATGTTACCTAAAACCCAAGATAGGTGCAAACTAAACTAAAACTTGTCAGCTAACCAATCAGAGCCTATTTCTTAATTCTGATGTAGACCAACTTACTGCAACGCACATATAATAACCAGTTATCCTAAAACCCTCGATCAGCTACTTTAGGTATGTTTAATTGGAGTTAAAGTTGAACTCTGCAGGATAGTGGGTCCCCAATAGCATGGTTTAAGGCCTCTGAAATAGAATAAAGTGATAAAAATGTCCGTGTGATGCTGTGATTGTGCGCCTACAGTACATGACCATCAGAGTAGCTGCACTGGAGTAGCATGTATAAGACCTAATTTATAGACAAATTACCAACCTACGTCACACATGATGCACACGGGTTCCCGGTTGCAAAAAGAGGCCGGTGGCAATAGTAAACATGTTGTGTTGTGCAGTAGGAGGCCAAATTCCAAAGTCCAAAACTAGAAAATGTAACATTTACCGTACACCACACTGCTTTTAATGCAAACCGCAGACGTCTGAATGAAGCGACGAACTAATTAAAAATGCTCGACTCTTCAGTTCTCATGTTATATCAGGTAAGTTCACGCTATGGTGAATCATACACAGTACCCATTTTAAATTGCAGAAATTATTTCAGCAAAAACAATTACATATGGTTAATTAAAACTAATAAATTTACACCTAAAATAAAAATAGGATTTAAAAAAAAATATATACACAAATTAAAAAGTTGAGGGCCTTGAAAGTCTTATATTTCTTAAAAAATTATGTATATTTAAAAACCCACTTAGATTGAACTAAGTAGCTCAGTGTTAAGGAAAATAAATTGAAATCAAATGGGATCAGCATCTGCAGTCACAAATTTAAAACCAGGTTGTAAATGTTGTACAGAGTCAAGACACAAAAAAAGATTTAAAAAATTTACATTTATACAAATATCCACACACTCATTTTTGCATTAATGCAATACAACAGCACAAAAATGACCCCACAGTTCAATCAGTGTCAGGGCTATGTCAGGAAGGAAAATGGGTTTTTAGCACCTCCTACATGTGTATAATGAATTTTTAAGTAATTTGTCTATTTTTCTACCCTAAATTAATAAAACGAAAATAGAGCAAAACATTTTTTTTTTTTGCTTCATTTTCCTTTTTTTGTTTGAAAACAGATATGGATTGGATGGAAGAGACCCTGATTTACTCTGACCTTCAGGCCATGTTTTGAGCTTGGAGCTCTCCCACCACACAACAATGCTCATTATTTGTTCAAACAGATTAGATATATAAGTGTGAACTTGTGGAAAAACTTTTTTTCGAAAAAGAACTTGTAAAGATCTTACATATGCTATACTATTTCAGGCTGGTTTCAAATGCACTTTTATGAAAAATCTGTTAAAATAGTTCATATTTTATTTTTTATTGGCAGTAAATTATTTAACAAAAACATCTGGTCAAAAGCATTTGTTAATCAAGGTTCAAGTTAAAATAAAAAAGACAACTTGTTCTTACAGTGTACATGCTCATATTCTGAAATAAGTTTATCGTAATTATAAACATGAATTAAATAGTTATCACGAGTACTTCGATATAAATTATTAGTTAATAATAAACTTTCAGTATGCTTTTTAGAAATATTCAGATTGCATTTGCAGTAGTGTAAAATTTGTAAAAGTATAGTAACTATAACAATGTAAAGCCCAACACCCACAATTTATCAAATGAAATGAGTGTAGTTAACTTAGAATTTACTGGAGTAAGTAAAGTTACCTTAACTTTTTGGGTTTTACAGTGTAGTAATGTATGTTTTTAAATAAACATCAAAATAATGTAGCAATTGTTTTCCCTTATTGATGTTAGTTAATATATTAACTAATATCTACTAGTGAGATCTTTTTGTAAAGCATTGTTACCTGTTGTACTTTATAATCCATTTGCAGGTTCATTTGTTCGAAATATTTTACTCTAAACATGTCAAATAAAAGCAATACGGAACAAAAAAATTGAAACCTTTGTGTAATTATAAATGTTAAAGTAACCCTAATAACATGATAGCATATACATTACCATGCATAAAGCTTCAGTAATTATTGTAATAAAAAAATGCGATGTCATCTTATGCTCACATTTAAGTTCATTTGTTTTGTTTGATTTCCAGGAATCCTGGTGGACAGCACTGGCCAATACATCTATGTGTTCTTCGCCTGCAGCGTAACAGGCTCCACGGCTGGTCTCTTCATCATGCTGTCCTTCTACTGGCTGGACAGACGAAGAGACCGAGAGCAGGTCAAGAGTTCTTCAGCTCATCAAGATCCTCATTCCCTGAAGCCAAGCCTTAAAATGACCATAGACTGTGAATACAGTCCAGTGCCTTTACACAGTAAGAACAGCAGAGATACAGAGACTGATGTGTGATTGTCCTGCCAAAACACAACATGTTGTAACTAATGCATTCATTTGACTTCATCAATCCTTTTCTTACTGGCGATGAGTCAAATTTAGATTTTGTAGGCTACACAAAGTTAGGGTGTGTGATATTTAATATCTACAGTAATTTCAATTGCCCACCGCACCCCCCCACCCCCCTCCCCCCCACTCAAAAGCAAATAAGCCAATTGCATTTGAATATCAGTTCCACAGGACTCAGTATTAGGATATAGTTTTTAGCGGCTTTGAGAAATATTGGAAGATTTTGGTTCGATGGTGTACGTTACCAGAAATTAAAACAATGGGGGTTGCTTGATCCTGAGAGGACTATTTAATTATACTTGAGAATGTGGCAAAATCTTAAAATGTGGTAAAAATCAGCACTGGTCAGTGCTTTTGAAAACACTATTGGTTGGGTTTAGGAAAGGAGGAGGTGGGTCAGTTGAGATCTCAAAAAGTGTATAGAGTGGTCTCACAATAACAAAAACTGCAAAAATAATAATAAAAAAAATTTGGCACACTCCAGAATGTATATAGGGGTATGTTTTCAGTATGAGCCTGGGTTGAGATTCCTACCTTCCTGCAGAGTTCAGCACCAAACCATGATCAAACTCACCCGAACCAATTAATTAGGACCTAAACAGCACTTGATAATTACAGGCAGGTGTGTTTGATATGGTTGCAACTGAAATCTGCAGGGGGCTGTTTCATATAAGTCGTTTAGAAAGGCAGGGATTAAAGTCAAAAAACTTACTTCAATGAGCCAAACTAAACGGCCACGCTTAAATTGGTTCCATAACAGCAAGTTGTAGATCATTTGATCTAAATAATCTGAGTTAAGATGAAATAATCTAGATAATTGCTCGTGCATATTTCTGTCTTGAAACCTTAAACGTCGAGTATAGATGCATCGATTATATTGTGCATTACCATGACAACTATGAGAACTGTAAGAGCTCTGAAATAAGTCAGCTGTTCACAGCGAGTGAGCCATGTTTGTTTTAAACATATAATAATTTAAAGAAAATAATCAAAAAATACGGCTTGCAAACAAAGCAAGAGAGAATCTAACATGAAATGGCTGCGTTCACACCAGACATGGAAGAAGCCTTAAGCGCCAGTGATTTATGTGTTAAGTAAATGCAAAGACGCGAATAGACATCTTGCAGCACAATACGTGCAAATGGCGTGCGCGAATTAATGCACAAATGGCTCGAGTTTAAAAATCTGAACTTCAACGGACATTCGCGCCACGTTAACCAATCAGGAGCTTGCTCTTGTGGGGGCATGATTATAACGTAACGCCTGTTTTTGGTGTCCCCGGGGAAAATCCTTCTGCCTACACCGATAGCAGTTCATCAAACTGGACTCGGCTCAGTCAGAAGTACCCCTGAAAGCTTTCATCATCCATGTTAAATTTCTGGAGGAATTTATGAGCTCATAGAGCTGGGTGCACCTCTGAAAGGATCTAGTGGACTCAGAACCGGCTCTAAACGAATTGACAGTGTTTATCAACCTTCATAAAGCACAAACAATGTTATTTTCTCAATCAAATACTTGTTAGCCATTTAGCAACCATAACGTAAATCCGCGTTTATTCTGAAGTGAATTTGACACGTGAAAGAATCGGAATTGACGCACCAATAAAGCGAGTAAACTCAAAATGTTTAAGCATCTATTTAAGTGTGAATAGTGCGATTTATCCACGTGTTCCACATCTGGTGCAAACACAGCATTAGACTTCCAGGAACAGGACTGGTGACCCCTGTTCTAAGGAAAGTCAAAGCAACAATGGCTTGGACAAAACGGGGGGCTTTTCGTTTGCATTTATCGTCAGCGTTTTTTGAGACACTTTTCCGGATTCAAACCCGAGCAATTTTCACTGGCGTCGAGCAGAAGATTATGCAAAATCACTCCTTGACATTAGATGGCGCTACACATTTTCAAGCTTCTGACACCCGCTTGTAACACAGAAGAAGAAGACAGAAAGTTGACACGCTTGTTAATAAAGTTATTGGCGATTCGAAGAAGCATAGATGGTTCAAGTAGCAGCTCCAGCTCTTGCAGTAAAGAAATTATTATTGTTCACCAGTGCAATAAGCAGCTCCACGTTCATATCGCCTCTGGGCATCTTCAATATGCGATAACATTGACAGTTTTGTGCTTGAGCACCTTCAAGTGCTGTTTACTGTAACTTCAGCCGCTGCATGCACGTAAACAAAAGTGCCAATCTGATTGGTGGAAAAGGTTTTGACGCGGCACGTCAAAACAAAAGAAAAAAAAAACAAGCATGAGGCGCTTCTTTAAAAATTACGCTTTTACGCCTAGTGTTTTGCTACTTAGTATGCACGATCACATTATCACCCTTTATTTAGTCACGAGGAGTTAAACGTCGACGGAAAATGGAAGAAAAAAAGGGTGCACGGGCCTTAACTCTGTTATTGTCACAGATGGTGAATCTCATACTTCAGGCAGAAACTGCCTCTATGCAGTGCTAAGGTTAGTGAGCTCACTCTAAAGTTAATTGCCACTATAGCAAAAAGAGTTAAATGTAAGTGAATCTAATTTTAATCTGTAGTGCATGAACAGTGCTGATCCTGAAAGATTCCAAAGGTTCTTTTTGAATTGTGATCTGTAAACTGCAGGCATCTTACTCTGCAAAAACTTACTTCAGGGATCCATGACCTGCCTTGCAAGAATATGAAGAATTCCATATATAAATTTATTTATTATCATCTTCTCATTTTTTTTCAGCCATGAAAGTTTTCATGAACATGTAATATTATCTGACTGCACTAAACTTTTCCAAGGTCTTATAGGCCTATGTTATGGCGAAATAAACCCAAGGCCCTTTAAAGGGTATTCAAATTGATAACAGCACATCTTTATCTAATCGAATGTGTGGTGGAATGAAACAGTTTAAGTGCATATTAATGAAAAAAAACATGATGTGGAAGTTACCTTACAGCAGCTCTACTGACAGTGATTTGCACTAGTGGTATTTTACTGCGCTAGTACAGTGTTTCCCAACCCTGTACACAAAGGCACTCCAACGGTACACATTTTCAACATCTGCCTAATCAAACACACCTCAATCAACTCATCAGAACAAAAGGCTCCTAAACTTGAAATTAATGGGTCAGATAAGGGAGACATCTAAAATATGCAATGCCTATGTGCCTCCAGGAACAGGGTTGGGAAACTGCGCTAGTGGATATCTGTCCACTTGAATGCACCTCATCGAGAGGTATTCCTTCTGTGTTCAAATATGTATAAAGAATCTCCTGAAATTTAAGGTTTTTACACTGAAAGCTGTCTAAAAATTATTTTTTTTTTGTCTGAGTTAGCAACATTAAGGTGAGGTGGACTTGCCAAAATCAATTGTTGTTTTAAAGGAGCTGTATGTAAGTTTTTGATTCTTCTAAAGCATAAAAATACCATAATATGTTTGAAGATAACATGCCAAGTGAACATTCTTGTTTATCTGAAAAACAATGCTGAAGTCAGATATTCTGCTTCGAAAATGTGCATTACATGCAGGAACATCTGTCTTTGTTTTAATCATTTATCCCGCCCACTGCCAGTTTAGCCAATTATATTTCAGCACACCAGGTTGCCTTGGTGGAAAACAGCGTATTTCATTCAATCAGTCAGAAAGGCTCTCAAAGTATGTGTCCGAGACCAAAATGCAACCTCCAGTGGACAGTAGCAGACTCTAAAATGAGATGCAGATTCAGAGTTCCGCATGTGGTGGATATTAATTAGCAAATAATATCAATATTGCAAATGTAAACATTAGGTAAGCAGGTTACATTGCAACTTTATGTCCTAACAACATGCTATAATACAATATTTGAGGTGATAAGCAATTTGGCTGTTTGGACCAGACAAAACACGACAGAAATGTAAATACAGCCATTCAGAAGCACAGAATAGTGCTCTCACTGCACTCCAATGTGTGCATTATTCTGTGCTTCTGAATCACTGATATGTGTTGGCTGAGTCACAGTTCTACAGTTCAAGATCTGAGGTGTACTATCTGCTGCTGCTTTCAGTAATATGATAATAAATGTCATGTAAAATGGCATTCAAACTCATATTATTAGCATTTAACACTGAATAAAACACATGAGGTGCACCTGAGGTGATCATTGTCAATTTCCTTTCGTTCAGCTGCAAAAAATAAAAGCCGTTTCTAAAATATCAATTTCAGGTGTTGGTTAGAATAAAAACTACTTTTAATATGGACAATATACTTTCTATCACGTGCCGTTGCCTTTAGTTAGAACACGGTTTAAATCAGCCTTTAGGCTCGATAGTTAGGCACACTTCTGTTGACGTCGTCAATCTGGCAACCTGTGCTTGCATATGTTTTGATTCAGGAGAGTGCAATACCTAGTTCAACCAGTGGTTGTCAAACTTACAAACTACACCTTTAAAGAGCCCCTACTATACAGGACATAGGGTCATGTCAAATAGGGTCGCCAACAACAGTCTAATATGCATGCAAGGTCAAAAACACTTTCATTGTCTTATAATCTGCATTTATTTTTACCTAATTATCCCAGCGACTCCCATATGAATCATCAAGACATTTGTGGATTTAAAAGCAAAACTGTATTGTTTTGTTTCCAAAGGAATCATTTGAGTCACTGATTCTGAAGTCCATTTATAAAGACAGTCAGTAAACTCAGAATTCATACAGATTATTAAATGAATCGGCTGTTTAAATAAATGTTTCAGTATCTCTCATGTTTTCTTTACTTCTGTCCAAAATGGCTCAAGGCAGACTAGAATAAAACCCATCCAACAAAAAACCTTTACTTATCTTTAATGATAAAAAAAGACTATAAATATTTAATAATCAGCCTTATTACTTCTTCTACTTTCCTTCTTTATAGTAGAAGTACTTTTTTATTATTATGTAAATATCTCACACTCCTATCTGCAGTACTGTATAAAAATGAACTGATATTTTACAGTCTTCAAATCATCCAAGAAAATAAAATAATTATTGTTTTTGTTTTTCCTCTAAAGGGTTACTAACTAAGGCCAGTAGTAATTGATGTTCATATTACTGTCATTTAAATTCTGAGGATAACAAAAATCATTCTGTGAACAAATGATTGTTGAAACAGAAACTGTGTAAAGCAGCCTAGTGCAATAAATTATTTATTATCTGTAGATGCCTTAAATGATAATCGTCAGGTATTATATATGATTGTATTCTTGTTTTGCCTAGATACTGTTTTTTAAGAGCAGCAACTTATTTATATGTTTGTATGCATTAAAGACAATTTAAGCATTCTTTGTTGTCTGACAGCTTTTATTTTAATTTTTTTTTTCTTTTTATGCAGATTGTGTAAAATAGCCACTCTGTATAAAATTGAAGACCGCCTTGCTTAAAAAATAAAGCTTACACTAATTTAGA